ATTCTGTTGCTTTATTGCTAATTGTGTCATGGGATTACCAGGCAAATGTAACATCGAGGGAGTTATCCGAGTGGTTTTACAACTAATCGGTATATGTTCGGTGTAATGTATGATTCCCGGTTGAGAGATATTAATCTGCCATAATTTCGGCAATAAAAAATACGAAATATGTTTCGAGGTACGATGTAATTCCAAAGACGATAATGACGAAATTCAAAGTGTGAATCTGCGTGAGTATTTATTGAATTGTGCGAGTTATTACACACAACGTATCAATTATTTCATTAGCAAACAAATTTCCAAAATCAATTATTTCTAATAATAACTATTAATGTGAGAAAAGATTCAATCCAGTTGAAACATGATTCAACTTCTCAATCTATCGAATTATCCCGCAATGAATTAATAATTATTAATTCATTGCGTAATACACGCGATGATATATAATCATTGTTATATGAAATAATATCTATTTCGCCAGATGTAGATATTACAGATAGAGATATTACAGGTAGAGATTACATGTAAACATCTTTGATATCATTTAGAATTTAAAACCAAAAATTAGAACAGAATTGAATAATAAAACACATATTATATAACATTTTTTAATTAGTATTAAAAAAATAAAAGGATAAAAGTTTGTTTTTATTTTTTCGCTCGCTCAAAAATTAAAAAATAATTTTCGCTCAAAAATAATTTATGCAATTAATTTATGTTTTATATTCGTATCATTTACCTCTGACGACCAGCCTCGCTGGTTCTGATGCTAACGCGTCCTGCGTTGTGAAATCACTGGCGGTTACTTGGCATTGCCAAAGTCCGTCGTCGAATTCTAACGTGGCTGATCTAACCCATAATGAACAGTCTCCCATATCAGGCGAGCCTACCCACTCATACTTCTTCAAGTGCATACCTATTGGCTAAACAGAAAGAGTAGAATTTTTGTAAATCACTATATAATAATTTTTTATACACATATTTCGTTATATATCTCTTTACTTAGTTTCAATTGATTGGGTCAAAACTGTTGGATGTAAATTGTATATTATCTTAATCTTTCAAAATTAAATTAACATATTTAGACATTTCTTTAATAACATAAATTAATCAAAAAATTCTCAAAACATCTCATTTCACTCAGATATTCTAATATAAAATATGAAAAATCTCTTGTCTAAAGATATTCAATACTCATATCCATAACTTTATTTAATAATTTCATATATATATATATATATATATATATATATATATATATATATATAGAAGAGGAGATTACGCGATTTATATAGAGTAAAAAAAATAACTTTGCTGAAATACAATATGTTTCAGATCATATCAACTCAATATTATAACGTATGATTTAAGGGATGCCAGAAAAATATCGGCTTGTCTCGTTAAACTCGGAAATATATGCGCATATTAAAAAACATCTGCGATAGAGCTCCATAAGATTAATAAGTCCCCAGTAATTTTCGTTTCAACGAATTTCCCAGACAATGGTCCACACACGTCACACATCTTTCGACTACTGTTTAACCCGACGAGACCGGGCTACGCCGATCGCTTCTCGTTAACGGAATCCTCTTCCGGAGGCTGCACTCCGTTGCCAGCAGCTCTCTGCCGTCAGGTTGCCCCGCTTTCTCCGAAATGAATCATCGGCTTCCGGGCCCGGTGTCGGAGACCGCCCGACTCTTCTTTCTCGCGGATTAATTCGCTGCAGCCGGGAAAGTGCGGCCCCAGCAAATTTCGTCAGTCATAATGTGGCCGTAATTCAGCGATCGATTCTGCATACGCTCGTTCTTTAATCTCTCCTTCCCTTCCTTTCCTGCCTTACCTTTTGTCTCCCGCTGAAATGAAGGGAGCCTTCTTGCACCTCTTTTTCCGCAAGAGTCTCCGCTATAGAAATTAAGAATTTCTGTAGTGACGTCGTGACGTTACGCTCGTCGCTTATCTCGACATTTTCCACCTGTTTTCGTTTTATAAAGTGATTTTACTCGACCTCACCGCTGTCGATACTTGTGTATGATTAAATGCTCTGAAACTCTCTGTAATAATTCTCGCTTGTACTTCTTTCTTTATCGTGATAATAAATTGATTCCTGTATATTCCAGTAATTCATTCTTTCCTTTCACCCAGCTTCGCGCGATATGTTATCGCGATGGCTATTATATACCGTGTATACCGAGGTCGACATACCGGGGTCGAATTGTTTTATCCGTAAGTTTGTGGCGGCTCCGTTAAAACGCGTGGAGAAAAAGCTTCGTCGTTTAAAGGTATTAGTCGGTTAATGAGTTTCCGTAATCCATTGTCTTAAATTAGGGACGTCTGCTTATTGCTGGAAAATAGAATTCGCCTTGCAAATTACATCTTCCCATTTTTTATTAAGCCGATTTCATAAAAAGTTATAGAAACGCATTAACGCAACTTTCTTTCCGCATTGTTTGAGCAAAAAAAATCTAAGAAAAAGCTAATTATCTAATTCTAACCTAAATGAATTATGAATAACAAACGGTAACAGTATAACAGTAATGAGCAAATCCATTTTAACTCGAGCGAATGACTTTTTTCATTTCATTGACTCTGTCAATGTGTATTTTTTGACTTTTGCTTTTTTCCAACAAGGTAACACATAGACATAAAAAAAGAAAGGGATACAGAGGGAATTCATAAGGGAATATGCAACAATGCTGTTTTGATGGTGGAAGATAAATCCATTCTTTCCCGCTTGTTTCGCTATTTCCAGAATGAAAATGTCACTCGTGATATGCTCAATTCAAGAATCCAGATTCTTTTAACTCCCGCGCGGGATATGGTC